ACCGCCATAAATTCATTCATACACATAACCTACTACACTACTACAAGGTAGGAGATCAAGCCAGCGTCGAAGTTGAAGGAGTCGAAGAGCAAATGCTCATCTTCTCGTCAAGTTTAACGCCTGGAAGGGTCAAAGGCTTTTGAATCGTACTAATTTGAAAGATTCCTGCGTGTCTTAAAATTGGTAAGACCTCTATCCTAACCGTGCGGTAGCGCACGATGCACGCTCTCAGCGAGGAATTTGATGCTATCGAACTTCGGCGAGCGCGTGCTTCTTTGGAAACGATAGATCTTCGCGCTCTCGAGTTCGGACCCGATTAATTACGAAGTGCGTCTACTACGAGTGAGCGAGTGACTCATTTGCATATCTCTGTCCCTGCAATAACTCGTGGTACGCTCGCGCGTACCCACGAGTTAAAAACGAAGGGGGAGTTATTGACCACAAGCCCAAAGGGGTGGGGGTAGGGAATCCTTTCTTTTTCTCAATCGCGCTTAACCCTCCACCCCGAAAATAATAAGAAAACAAGGTCTGTACACAGACTCGACGATTTCAACCATATAGCAAGAAAACAAATCATTTCATAAAGTCAAGAACCACGTACCTGTAGATGGGCATCTAATGCTTGGAGTATGTTGGGGAACAACGTTTGGTCTGAAGTAAAGAGATTTCACAACGTTAAGTATCAAGTAGATCTTACTACACAGGATTACCACTGTTTGTTTTAAACACTAAGTAATGCTAGCATTCAAAAGCATTAAGGGAGGCAAAATATTTTAGTCAGTATTCTTTAACAAACTAACTCTTAAGGTCTTGAAAGAAAATCAGAGGAAGACGATCGCATCTTAAACACGGAGATGTGGTTGTCTTGTTTGGTCATCCTACTCTTTAGACAAGGAACTTTACTCCACTTTATCTCTCTCTCTAAATGGGTACAGGCAACATACTGCTGGGGGTAACCATGCGATGGACTAGCATCCCGTCCAAGGGGGAGTAGCAATACTCCTAGGCATGATTCATGCTAATGAAACCGGTATAAGGTCCGGACGTTTGGGCCTTTGGCTCGTGTGCGCCTTTACCCTTGCCATTACCTCTGCCTACGCAAGCACGAAAGTCTGTTTTTGCAACGAATTCTACAGCATACATCAATGAAATGAAAGTAATTTTTCACAGTTGTATTTTTAACGTTTATTGGGGTGGTGCAAGCTCCCGTAAGGGACCGCCTGTTTCTACTAGTGGCCACTGACTAGGATCATCCTCGTAAGCAACTCCTCGCCTGTTACCAAACCATCTCGCCACCAACGAAATCACCACCAAGAAATATATATCGAAAGGACAACACTAAAAAGAATTATTTCACTTTAAATTTACAATGAAATTTTTAAAGGAGTTAAGGTTCAAGTGACAATGTTAGCCAACTTTCATAAGAAAGGCTGTTGGATTCTAAAACGCACCTCTCGAGGGATGCAAATAAGCCTCGTTAAGGTTTTAAAAAGTCGCAATTATACACAAGATGTCAATTAAAATCGATAAAATTATATTATTGGGCTTGAGGAAGAAGTAACAATCTCAGGTACGTAAACAGTGTCAATTATTGCAGAGTTGTTATACCGTGGCGAGTAGACTTCGTGGTGGCGATTTCATTCAGGGTGGCGAGATGGTTTGGTGGCGAGATGACCGTAAATCATCTACAGACGTATTTTCCTTCCGGATGGTGTACGCTCACAGGGGCTTAAACTGTAGGTGCAAAATACGATACCTAAGTTATGTCTCCTTGGCAATGGGCTTTCCTTGTCTCCGCTGTACTTTCTCTCTGGAGATGA